ACTAATTGAAAGATTTTCTTCAAACTTGGCTGAAATGTTCACATCAGCAAGGGGATGTGCAGAATCCATGTTGCCCATGTGTCAGCTCAAGGTCAAGGTCACAATTGAAGGTCAAATATCAAATAATCAAATATTAGACAGTATGTCATGTCCGCTCTGTAAGTCCCACAGTAATTGAAAGATTTTCTTCACTCTTGGATCAAATTTTCACCTCAACAAGGTTATGTGCAGAACCCATGTTGCCCTTTTGCCGGCTTAAGGTCAAGGTCACAATTGAAGGTCAAAAAGTTGACTAAGCACTCTTAGATTGATAAATATAATTATTGGACTTAAGACTTTACCAATTTTCACAACTAAGGAAAGAATGAGTCGAGCGAGCTGGCATTTTTGTTTAAATTCTTTTTTTGTTTTACTCTGTTTTTTTTGTTTTACTCTGTTTTTACGTTTTTGTTTTGCTGTTAATTACTCATACTAATTTTTTTTAACAAAAACAATTTAGAAGTTTGCACTTTATCAAAATAACAGCACCAACAGTTTATCTTGTTATTCTATGAGCACCTATAATAAATTAACTTTTTTTTAGGTTCAAATTCAAGTCCATTAATTTTGCTAACAAAATAACTCTTTAAACAACTTTAGTTTGGTCTCAAATATATTTCTTGCTGACAGTATAATGTTTCCACTTGCTTTACATGTACTGGAATGTTCACTAGCATGGGCGTAGCCAGATAAGATGTACTATGCCGAGCTTGACATCATTTAGCCTTTTGAATAATGTTGTAAATCCATATACACTACTATAATAAATTAAAGATAATTGAAATGAGAATCTGAGTATCTGTGGTATAATTGTCTTATGGACACATTTTGTCCACTTTTTCTTATACTGTCTTTGTGGCATCATTGTCTTATGTACACTTTTTAAAAAATTTTCTACTATACCAGTACAGTCTTTGTGGTATCATTGTCTTATGATCAATTTTTTAAAAAAATTTTTACTATACAGTCTGTGTGGCAGCATTGTCTTATGGACACATTTTACACTTTTTTTTTTACACAGTCTCTGTGGCATCATTATCTTATGAACACATTTTTTACATTTTTTCTTATACAGTTTCGGTGGCATCATTGTCTTATGGACACATTTTTTTTGTTTTGTTTGCTATGTCGCCAGTCATGATTATAATTAGGGAGATTTTCCAGTTTTTCCGGCACAGGAAGACATCATGTGCCCTTTCAAGCATTATTTTAAGCACAAGGGGGCACCTGACTGGAACAACTGACTTTCCTTAAGCAAATTTGTAGGATGAGAAGCATAAATAAACCCTTTATGATATACAAATACCGTAATTCAAAAAAGTTGTGATAATAAATTGAAACAAAAAAAACCATTTTAAAGGGAAGGGATGATGGCACAACTGAGCAAGCCTTTCCTTTTAAAGGGAAAATTTACAATTTGTAAGCATTTATTACTTTGCAATGATTTTCATTATCTTAAATGCTTTTGGGATTGTTTAATAAAATTATTTGTATTTAGAATTGTTATATGTCCGATTAAAGGCATGATTTTAATGAAAATGAAATCAGGTCACACCTTAATGTGTATTGATCACATGTTGGTTTCAGCCAATGAAAAAATTCATTTCAATTGACATTGAACATTTCGGCATGCCGCATCAAGAGTGCATAATACCTGACCTCATATACCAGCTATAAGTCAATAGGGAATTATAAATATAGCTAACTTGGGCGCGTGGTATAGGATAGGAAATACTTTTTTTATATTTATTTGTAACTAATTAATATTATAACACGGAAAAACGTGCGTTAACCCTATATTTACAAACCGCGTATCTCATCGGGGTTTCATTGGATCAATTAATAACAAATTATAATGTTCTTGTAGTTTCAAATCTGTGCACAATTTTAATATATTCTGTTCAGTAAAAGATGTGTAATTTTGTGTAAATTGGTTGTGCATGGTTGTTTTTAGCTCACCTGAGCACGAAGTGCTCAAAGGTGAGCTTTTGTCATCACTCTGCGTGCGTCGTGCGTCGTGCGTCCTTCAAAAAATGGCGTCAAACTTTTCAAACAACATCTCCTCCTAAACTACATGGCCAATTGCAACCAAACTTTACAGAAATGATCCTTAGGTGGACCCCTTTCAAAGTTGTTCAAAAATTTAAATTCCATTAAAAACTCTGGTTGCCATGGCAACCAATAAGAAAAACTTAAAAAATCTTCTTCTAAAAAACCGTAAGAGCTAGAGCTTAGATATTTGGCATGAAACATCTTCTAATGAGTGCCTACCAAGTTTGTTCAAATCAAAGCCCTAGGGTCAAAATTGGCCCCGCCCCAGGGGGTCATTGATTTTCCCTATATGCATATAGTAAAAACTTAAAAAAATCTTCTTTTAAAGAACTCAAAGAGCTAGAGCTAAGATATTTAGCATGAAACATGTTCTAATAGGTGTCTACCAAGTTTGTTCAAATAAAAGCCCTGGGGTCAAAATTGGCTCCGCCCCGGGGGTCATTGATTTTCCTTATATGTGTATAGCAAAAACTTAAAAAAATCTTCTTTAAAAAAACCCAAATAGCTGGAGTTTAGCTATTAAGCATGAAACATCTTCTAGTGAGTGTCTACAAAGTTTGTTCAAATCAAAGCCCTGGGGTCAAAATTGGCCCCGCCCCGGGGGTCATTGATTTTCCTTATATGACAGTGTATAGCAAAAACTTAAAAATATTCTTTGAAAAAACCCAGATAGCTAGTGTTTAGATATAAAGCATGAAACATCTTCTAGTGAGTTTCTACCAAGTTTGTTCAAATAAAAGCCCTAGGGTCAAAATTGGCCCGCCCCAGGGTGTCTTTGATTTTCCCTATATGCATATAGTTAAAACTTAAAAAATCTTCTTTTAAAGAACCCAAAGAGCTAGAGCTAAGATATTTAGCATGAAACATCTTCTATTGAGTGTCTACAAAGTTTGTTCAAATAAAAGCCCTAGGGTCAAAATTGGCCCCGCCCCCGGGGGTCATTGATTTTCCCTATGTGCATATAGTAAAAACTTAAAAAATCTTCTTTTAAAGAACTCAAAGAGCTAGAGCTAAGATATTTAGCATGAAATATGTTCTCATAGGTGTCTACCAAGTTTGTTCAAATAAAAGCCCTGGGGTCAAAATTGGCCCCGCCCCGGGGGTCATTCATTAGCTTGACTTTTTTTTTTTTAGATATATACATATTATATATATACACATATATATTTAATATTTATATATATATATATATATATATATATATATATATATATATATATATAATGTGTATATATATATATATATATATAGATATATATATATATATATATACATATATATATACATATTATGTATATATATATATATATATATGATATATGTATGTATATATATATATATATATATATATATATATATATATATATATATATATATATATATATATATATATATATATATATATATATATATATATATATATATATATATATATATATATACATACATACATACATATACAACCAAGTTTGTTCAAATAAAAGCCCTGGAGGTTAAAACTGGCCCCGCTCCAGGGGCCTATATACAGGTGAGCGACTTTGGGCCATCATGGCCCTCTTGTTTATTATTTTACCGAACCAACATTTTAATATAATATAACATTTAATACAGTAAAATAGTAAAAAAAGATTGTGAGCAGAGTGGCCAGGGGAGAGAACTAGAATATTAAGTTTTTAGCTCACCTGTCACAAAGTGACAGGGTGAGCTTTTGTGATCGCTTTTTGTCCGGCGTCCGTCCGTCCTCCATCCGTCCGTCCGTCCGTAAACTTTTACTTTAAATGACATCTCCTCATAAACCACTAAGCCAATTTCATCCAAACTTCACAAGAATGTTCCTTTGGTGGTCACCTTTAAAACTGTTCAAAGAATTTAATTCCATGCAGAACTCTGGTTGCCATGGCAACCGAAAGAAAAAACTTTAAATATCTTCTTTTAAAAAACCCTAAGAGCTAGAGCTTAGATATTTAGCATGAAACATCTTCTAATGAGTGTCTACCAAGTTTGTTCAAATAAAAGCCCTGGGGTCAAAATTGGCGCCGCCCCGGGGGGTCATTGATTTTCCCTACATGCATATAGTAAAAACATAAAAAATCTTCTTTTAAAGAACCCAAAGAGCTAGGACTAAGATATTTAGCATGAAACATGTTCTAATGGGTGTCTACCAAGTTTGTTCAAATAAAAGCCCTGGATGGGGTCAAAATTGGCCCCGCCCCGGGGGTCATTGATTTTCTTTATATATGTATAGCAAAAACTTAAAAAATCTTTGAAGAAACCCAAATAGCTAGAGTTTAGATATTAAGCATGAAACATCTTCTAGTGAATGTCTGTAAGTTTGTTCAAATAAAAGCCCTGGGGTCAAAACTGGCCCTGCCCCAGGGGTGTCATTGTTTTTTACTATATGTGTACAGTAAAAACTTAAAATTCTTCTTTGAAAAATTCAATGAGCTAGAGCTTAGATGTTTAGCATGAAATATTTCTTATTGGTGTCTACCAAGTTTGTTCAAAGAAAAGTCATTGGGTTAAAATTGTCCCGGGGGTGGGGGCGGAGGCCTATATACAGGTGAGCGACTTCAGGGCCATCATGGCCCTCTTGTCTTAAGTATGTATAGATTACTAGCCCCTGGGGAATATTGCAAAATAGATATTGACCAGATAATATTTATTTCCAGGGTGATAGATCAAAGTACATGTAACACAATGTGACGTCATATTAATAAGGCTATATAGTAAAAAGTTCATATGAGATATAATAAAATTAATCAGTTAATTATATACTGGGTGAGTTCAGGTGAGTTTAAAAATGAATTAATGGGTGTTGAACATGGGTTATTCAGTTGTATAATTCTTTTTTTATCTGAAATAACTTGCATATTCATATTTCTTTAATTGTCAGTGATTTATAATTACAGCATGGCGTTAGAGACAAGGCAGAAATCAACTATTTTACATCACTTGGTAAAATGTTTGGTGTGGATAAGTATGCTGCCACATTGAGAGAGATAGTGAAGAGAAAGTGAGAGATATTTTATATTCCTATAGATCATACTACCATCTTATACTGTTATTGTCATTCCATGATAACATAAACATTTGTTGTATAATAAATATGTTTTAAACTTTTAATCAGTGAAAAATATGATTTACACTGTTCACCTCATTGTTTGTGGGAGTAATGCTTTAAATCTTTAATGGAAACATTACACTGATAATACATATAATTATAACCTGACTTAGTTTCTGATACACGACACAAGGAAACAACAACATATTTAATCAAAAGCTGATTTTATAGCTAGACATAGGCCATGTGTTGGCCATTTTTAAAACCTCATTATTATTAATCTCATGGTAAATGGTGTTACACCCCCATTTTTTAATGTTTAGGGTTTTAATCTTTTCCTACAAACAATGTTTCAGGCACACACACTTTTAACGGACTGTCAGGACTGATTTGCAGAAATAATGAAAACTATGAGTAAAATGATTTTCTTTATCATTAAAACATGCATAGCTTTAAAATATTTTGCCAGAAGACTTTGTTGTTTAGGTGTTTAACTGGAATAGGTCAATTTTGAAAAATGTTAACACTGCCATATTGAAATATGCCATAACCATGACATTAGTGATGATGCAATTTTCATGCTGTTGACTTAATATAAATTACTTGATTCATATGCAGTAGCAATAGACTAGAGTACATTGTTTAAGGATTTATTTCAAAAGTATTTGCATGTTGCTTTTTTTTAAGCAAACTTTAAAAGCAACATGGTTAAATCCATGCTATCTTTGCAGGTTGTCTGATGGTAAATGTGCAGTTTAAGGATTTTAGGTAGTAACATGTTTTATTTTTGTATTATTTTCATTGTAGGAATATACATGTAAACTTTAGAACAAGTCTAAAAGCTGTAGATCACAGAAAAAAGACAGTGACTATTGAATATCTGGACAGTGAGACTGGTGAAGAGCAAACACATAAAGTAAGTTAATAAAATATCTATATTCTATGTTAGCTAGAATGTAATTGATAAACTGTTTATGTTAGCTAAAATGTAAGTGTTAAGCTGACTATGTTAGCTAGAGTATAAGTGATAAATTGTTTATGTTAGCTAGAGTGTAAATGATTAACTGTTATGTTAGCTAGAGTGTAAGTGATAAACTGTTTATGTTAGCTAGAGAGTAAGTGATAAAATGTTTATGTTAGCTGCAGTGTAAATGATTAATTGTTATGTTAGCTTGAGTGTAGGTGATAAACTGTTTATGTTAGCTAGAGAGTAAGTGATAAACTGTTTATGTTAGCTAGAGTGTAAGAGATACATTGTTTATGCTAGCTGGAATGTAAGTGATAAACTGTTTATGTTAGGTAGAGTGTAAGTGATAAACTGTTTATGTTAGCTGGAATGTAAGTGATAAACTGTTTATGTTAGCTAGAGTGTAAATGATTAACTGTTTTGTTAGCTAGAGTGTAAGTGATAAACTGTTATGTTAGCTAGAGTGTAAGTAATAAACTTTTTATGTTAGCTAGAGTGTAAGTGATAAACTGTTATGTTAGCTAGAGTGTTAATAATAAACTCTTATGTTAGTTAGAGTGTAAGTGATAAACTGTCTATGTTAGCTAGAGTGTAAATGATAAACTGTTTATGTTTGCTGGAGGGTAAATTATAAACTGCTTATGTTAGCTAGAGTGTAAAGGATAAACTGTTATGTTAGCTAGAGTGTAAGTGATAAACTGTTATGTTAGCTAGAGTGTAAGTGGTAAACTGTCTATGTTGGCTAGAGTGTAAGTGATAAAATGTTATGCTAGCTGGAGTGTAAGTGGTAAACTGTTTATGTTAGCTAGAGTGTAAGTGATAAACCATCTATGTTAGCTAGAGTGTAAGTGATAAACTGTTAGCTAGAGTGTAAGTGATAATTTGTTTATGTTAGTTAGAATATAAGTGATTAGCTAACTGTGTTAGCTAGAGTGTAAATGATAATCTGTCTATGTTGGCTAGTGTATGTGATAAACTGTTATGTAAGTTAGAGTGTTAGTGATAAATTAATTGTTGATGTTCACAGGAGAGTAACTAATAAACTGTTTATGTTAGCTATAATTTAAGTGATAAACTATGTGTGTATACAATAATTGTTATAAATTTTATACAGATAGCTAAGGTTCAAGACTTCTTGTCTTGTTTTATGTTTCATTATATTAAAAAAATGAATACCTGTTACATTCCTAAACATTAACTTTTTTCCTAAACCCTTACACATTTATACATTACAGTATGACTTCCTGCATGTTGCACCACCTATGTCAGCCCCTGATCAGCTTAAGAATGCTCCATCCAAGTTTGTAGACAGTGCAGGATTTCTGGATGTAAACCAACTAAACATGCAGCATAGTAATTATAAGAACGTGTTTGGTCTTGGTGATTGTACAAACATTCCTACAGCAAAAACTGCTGCAGCAGTTGGTATGTTCTTATTTACTTATCATTATAATTATTGTATGTGTATCTAGAAAACTGTTTTAGTTTGACTATTTGAAGAATAGGGAAAACAGTCGTACTCACCCAGGCGTCGGGGTTGGCATCAGTCATTGGTTTTTGCGTGTAAGTTGGTTTCTCCAAAAGAGCTGAAGATGATTGGTTGAAACTTCACACACTTGTTCTCTGTGTTTATCACAAGATGGGTGCATAATTCTGATCTTTTTACAGATTTACGTCTTTTTCTGACAGTCAAGCACTGAGAAGAGTTGATTGTGCTGTCTTATTGAAAGCTATGTTTTATTTAGCATATGCTCAAATTTTGGGTTTCTGATAATGTTTGTATATTAATTTGATATTATACAGTACTCACAGGAATATGCTACATTATTATAAAAGAAAAAGTTCTCTCATTGTTTTAGAAGTGTCCACTAGAGTACTATACAACATTTATGATACTAATTATAAATTAGCAGACACTTTTTTGTCAAAAATGTGAGATTTACTGAAATTTATTTTCATAAATTATTTTTCCAATTTTCATGATTAATGTTATCTTACATATTATTTCATATATGGGTTAATAAACACTTAGAAAATGATGTTCTAAAAATTATGCTGCTTTGAGATATTTTAATATTCATAGTTACCATAATATGTTCACATGGTGTGTAAATCATGAGACAGTGACTTATTATATAGTTTTATATTATTAAAATGAAATTGTTATTAACTTTTCAATTATTCAGGTGCCCAGAATAAAATACTGTTTAACAGTTTACAGTCAGTGATGGCAGGAGCATCTCCTAATGGACAGGTAATCTGATTACCTCCCTTTGTTTGAAAGATCTATTTCTGTGTGAAAGATGGTTTTGAATGTAAATTCTTTATTTATAGATTGTTAAAAAAAGTTGTGTTTTAAAACATGGTCATAATGAGATTTGTTTGTAAATTATAGTGAATATGCATGTTTTTTTAGCATTCCTTAAATTACCGGTATATATTGATTTGGCAGAACAACCTGCCCGCATAGCTCAATCGGTCACAGCGCGAAACTTGTAGTCTGGACATTGTGGGTTTGAATCCTTGGCTGGCCAAATGAAATTACTAATTAGTCTTTCGGATGAGACTTTAAATCGAGATCCTATGTATTAGTGCTTAAACACTTGGCATTTTAAAGGACCAGGAGAAGCTTCTGGAATTGAGGCATCTGTCTGTATCTGTATCTTGCATTATCCTCCAAAAATCTAAAATGACTAATGCTCTTCAGGACGACTTACCCATATGGGCAACTAGTCACGATTATAAATAAACTCAAATACACACACATTTTAAGGCAGATCCATGCATTCTGTGCCATATTTTATGCACACTCCTAGGTAACTTTGTACTCACATCAGCCTTTATGAATTTCTTGCATGCGAGAATCAGACTTTTGACTTCAATATATTGACTGCTAGTTGCTCAAAGGTCCCCCAGTGTTTAGAACTGGTTCAAAGCAGATACTTCCGTTTTATGTTGAAATGTAAGTTAAATGAAATGTGTGAATTGAATAAAATAAAGTTCAGTTACATAGATTTGTTGAGGCTACAGGACTGCTCAGTCTTATATGAATTATTTTTGTAATTAGAGATTGAAAGTCTTTCACCATTGTACTAAATATCCATTGTGTTACTATTTTCTTAGTTTAAAGCTTCATTTTGTCATGATGGTCTGACATTGAAAATCTTTCCTGTCATAATGCTTTGATTTTGCTACTCATTCTCTCTTTGACTATTCTGTCATTACAACTTGAATTGAGTATAAGATTCATCAATAATTATCTCCCTTTGACTAGGAATAATCTGGATTACCTACCTTTAATTTATGTGATATTTTCTATAGTATGATGGCTACACAGCCTGCCCTCTAGTGACAAGCTACAATAAATGTGTGATGGCAGAGTTTGACTTCAGCTGTATGCCGCTGGAAACATTTCCTGTCAATCAGGCGAAGGAAAGGAGATCTATGTACTTCTTTAAGAAAAATGTGTTCCCTGAAATCTACTGGAATCTTTTAGTCAAGTAAGTACTTTCTATGCCCCCAGTACTAAAGGGGAAATATTGTTTTGACCTAGTCCATCATCCCGGTGTTTTGCTGTCCTGCTCTCGCACAGTATATGGATAAGTCTGTTGACTGACAGGCAGAGAAAATTGGCAAAACAGTGGAATGTGGGGGCATCTGTGTTCATAGCTCTAGTGTGATGTCTATATTTCTAGAATAATCTCCATTAACTTACTTTTGCCTACCTTTACCATCCAGTATGGAAGTAGTCAAGTATTTGTTCAAATATGACTTTATCACACACCCGTGCTGATTTGGAACTCCGTAAATATGGTATTGCACATATTTTGACGTGACATCATTAGCGTTTTACAGACATAGTGTAAAGACTCGCTAAATGTTAGCGTTATACTGTAGGCGCGTCAATTAAAAATTAGTCTAATTTCACTTTATACGGTCTTTATTTTGGGTATGTGATAAATAGAATATTAAATTCGTGTAAGTTCATTACTGAATTTATTGCACACGCAGAGGCTCGCATAATATAATTTTATTCAACTCGTGCAATTAATTCAGTATTGAACTTACACTCATTTAATATCCTCTATTTATTACTTATTACTTAACTCTGCATTGAGGAATATTGTGATCTTTTATAGCATTTTTGTTAGGTGAGCAATCCTTATATTCCTCATGGGCATCTTGTTTCACATCCTTATCTTAGTGATAGAAGATATCATTTAGTAAAGGTTGTTGATGTATGTTCTTTAAAATATGCATGAAACAAAGTATGTATATGTATATATTTAAAAATGTCTTATTTCTAGTTATTTCTTTACAGGGGTCACTGGGGTGGAAACAAAGTTTTTAGAAAAGTGTTGCATCTTGGGATGTCAAAATAGAGAAATTTGGGATGAGTGTACGTATAACTGAAGGACAGGGGAGATAATAATTGTACATACAACCTCTACATCACTTTAACATACCTTTTAAAATGGTGTTGGTTGATTGACCAAATTATTATTGTGTAGTTTTGTTCTAAAAAAGCTTTTAGTGACATTTATGCTCTTTTTTCTCATTGTCAACTTGAGCTGCATTGACTGCATATTTCAAGAGAATTACTGTTATAATGGTGATTGACCAACAGTTTATATTGTAAAATGTTTTAGATAAAATATAAAATATAAATCTGCCTAAAATGTAAAAAGACTGTCCCACTCTCTTTATAAGTTAAAAGGTAACAGATGAAGTCTGATGGTTATTTACAGAATTTTTTTGTGCCTCATGACTTATCTATTGTTCATTTGAAGTAAATTATAAAATTGAAAGGAATTATGGCACTCTTTCTATACCCTTGAGTGGGCATGATGCCATTTCAAATGAAGTTAGGTCATTTTGTTCCAATAAACAATATTTGAACATTTTTTATGTATCTTTATTTGATAAATTTTTTGATGTTGATATACACTGGTTTTGTTATTTTAGTCTACTATAAACAAATTATAAACATGTATTGATATATTTTACATATTGACATAGTGTAACTTTATTATACGAGGGTTGTCCAAAAAATTCGTGCACTGCAGTTATTGTCGTGAGAGTTATTAATAAAAACAAATGAATTATATATCACTTGAAAGAGAAATCTGTCTCAAATAAGAAAACAAAAGAAAAAGCCGAGTAACCGGCGTGTCGTGTAAAAGAATGGTCATTGAGTTACCTTAGAACGTAATACCGGCGGCAAGACAAAATTGGGTTAGTTCATTACCGTAAATGTATTGTTTTTTGCCTGAAATATAAAGTGGTATTTGCTTTTTATGTTATAATTTGTTTTACTGTCAATAAGAGGATGATTGATGAAAAGTATTGTGTAGTTTTTATTGTTTTATATGCAACGTACATGTAGCATATTCTACCAGTGCAGGAATATATTGGGACAACCCTCGTCACTGCGCCGGCATTACGGACGGACGTCTGTCTGACTGGTTGTCATCGTTTCTACCGACTCGCTTTCTCTTCCACAGAGCGTTTGTGCTATTTAAAACCAGCCTTCGTGACACTGAACTTGTCCCGCTTGCCCTTTTAAGCTCTTTGTAGGTATCTGTTGGTGATTTACCAATATTTTTCACCAAATGTAATGATTCGTCCGTATTTTCCAGACGTTATCGACTGGCATTTTCACGTATTACAGTATTGACGACCGCAACAAATGTTTGTTTACGACTGTTACAATAGGGCAAATGACCCATATTTTCTAGTGACGTTTAGGAATACGTTCACACACTTTTCCCTGAATTTTAACGTTAATATGTAGTGTTTAAAGAATACCGTGATGCATCAAAGTAATGAACTAACCCGATTTTTTGTCGTGCGCCGGTATTACGTTACCAAGGTAACTGTATGACGATTCGTTTTCAGGACAGGCCGGTTACATGTTTTTTTTCTTTTGTTTTCTTATTTAAGATATATCTCCCCTTCAAGTGATATATAATTAATGTTTTTCTATCAATAACTCACACGACAATAACTGCAGTGCACGAATTTTTTGGACAACCCTCGTATAAGAAGTTATAAAGTAACCATAGTTTTACAAACATTGTTGTCATAGAAATATGACACAGAAATCTCAACTATTATAAGATATGTTAAGTATTGCTGCACATGATGTGTATGTTAAGAGAACAGAATGAGTGGTAATGAAGGTTTGTTTTTGATGTCATGTTGAAGTGTCAGCTCATATTACTGGCTTCCAAATGAATGATTTGTTATGTATATTGTTTTTGTATGGGCCTAAGGCCATAAAACATTTTTGTTTTTACATGGGCCTGGTGCCATAAAACAATTTTTACCATGGGCCTGAGGTCAATAAAGCTTACTATTTCAATGTCTTATCTTTATACATGTTATAATGAAGATTGGCTAGGAAATTTACATGTCTATTTCTATTTTCTTGCATATCAGACTGGCGTTTCCGTTAGTTTTACCCATGCCGGAAATTTCATCTTGCATGGGGGATTCCAGATGAGTCGCGTGCTGTACAATGGCACGATAAAGATGACGTCATTTTACCGTTATGAATGATTTTGTAATTCATACGCTGTTGAATGAAAGTAGTTACGGTTGTAATGATAAATATTTTCAATGAAAATAAAGATAAAGAATTTAGAATATAATGGAATATGGTAGAACATGCAAGAAAAAATATCTGACATATGTTTGCGGTTCGGATCGGAATATCCGTCCCGAGGTGACCCGCCCATGGGCGTTAACTCGGCAAGCCTCGTTACCGCCCAATGGGCGGGTCACCTCGGGACGGATATTCCTATCCGAACCGCAAAATATGACAGATATTATTAATATACCCAAAGACTGGCTTTCTTTGAATTTTCGTTATATATTTAAATAAAGATTGACCCAGTATTTGATTTCTGTCGAAAATGAATTCTCTACTAATATGAAGACTGTCTCTTTTGTTGGCGTACTGTTGAGCATATCTGTGCTATAACATAATTGAATATTACCTAAAATTGGCTTGAAGTGAATATATTTAGCATTTGCTATTTAATTGTTGTTAATTGTACAACAATTCAATTAAGTCAGAAGGTGTATCCTACACTTCATGCACCGTTATTATCAAACTTGAAAATCAATATATATGCGGATCCATTTCTGTTTGAAGAAAACAAGCAGCTGATATTTTTCTTTTTTTTCAGTCCACCCCATCTGCTAAATTAATAGCTAGGGGCTATATTGTGTTTTGTCTTTTGTTAAATGTTCACAGAATTTCTGGTATACAATAATCTTGGCTTCAACTCTATGCAGTCTGATATTAATTGGTACGACTTACAAATACCAGTATATTTTCTCAAAATTAACTATGTTGCTGATGTTTGTTATGATTGATGACTGTAAACTTTAATAAGGATTAGATTCATACTTTCATACAAAAAGGACATTTAGGACAAAACCTTCTTGTTGAGTATTTCAAATGTGATCTTGACCAATATTTTTTCCTGAAAGCAATATATTAACGCGTTATGTCCTTTTTTAACTTGAGTATTTATAAAAATTGGATATTGATAGTCATTGCCCTTTACAGCTGAGCATGTCGTCGCATTATAATTATAAATTTTTTGTTTTGATTGTGTGCAATTTTGGGTTAAAATCACCATTTTTTTAAAAATTTTTTTTAAATTTTAACAGACCCTGATTATTTTCCTTATATTTTCGGGCCGGTACAGAATTTCAGACATTTTTGCATTAACTATTAGTTATTTACATTTGTGTTCATTCAAATACAGTATTGGCATGTAATTCTGATTTTTCTTGCTTATTTTAATATTATGTTACGATAAGAGTTCCTGAAAATTTACGCATTTCTATATCTTATGTAACAGTTAGTTAGATATTTGATATTTTTCTACTCACAATGTAAATAATATAAGATTTATATACATTGTATGTAAATTAAATAATATATATCTAGATCCATATGTACTTAAGCTATAGCAATTCACCTTGAAGTAATTTTATAACACATGCACTGTAATCTGTTAATTAAACCGGTTTTGCGTAACAAGGCTGGTCATCAGTGCATTACATACATTGCTTAAAGCAAATATTAAATTATATTGTTGTGCTACAGCTCTGAATGAAAGAGTAAAAAGAACATTGAATCATTCTTACCAAACATTGTGTTCCTGGAGAACTGACACTTTTTAATGTTTATGGCAATGTTATTGTCCAAAACGTTGTTTTACAATTTAAAATTGTCATATCTTAATTTTAAACTTTATTGTCTTAGTCACTCTTTGAACTATCATTTTATCCTGCGATAATATTGGTAGCTGTCATTTTATTATAGTACTAAACATTTTGATTGTCCTTACTAAATTAATTCAATTTAATTGTTATCAAAAGTTATATCTCTTGGCCTTTTTCGTGTAGTTGTTGTAATGGAAACATACTAGTATTACAGAATGTTTATAATTATGCTTTTTATTTAAAGATGCATACATTATGGGGAGCGGTGGCCTAGTCATTATATAATTGTCTATCGCTTGACCCAGGGGCCAGGGATTATGGGTTCAAGCCCTACTATGGTCACAACAATGTCTCCTCATATGTCACAAGTTCCAGAAAGTGGCCTTGACTATACACATGAGATACTTGTTATCCAAGCTTTTATAAAAATATAAAGTCACTAAACAAATTTTCAGAAGAATTCAGTTATTTGTATTTGTAATGTAAATATTGCAGCATAATAGACGATATAACAATCTTAGTGTTCATTAATGACATTCTGAAAGTTTCAAGACTTAATGATCTGTGAAATATCATTATCTTTATATTTGATATAAGAAGCTTATGATGTATGTTTTCATACATATATAATTATTTACTGTATCACAGTTTATATGATTTCTTTTCTAAATAATGAAATATATTTCTTTGACAATTAATATAGCGATTAAAATAAACATTTGCTTTGAGTTAATAGTGTTGTTTTTTGTTTATTTATTTGAGAACGCTTGTTTTTATGAACCGACTTGCTTCAAATATTTTAAAGCTGGACGGAAAGTTCTCAATCCACAATGTACTTTATTAAATTGAACACATAGATTGTATACAATGTTATCTAGGAATTTTATACTGGTATACATAAGGTAGCTTTAAGTGCTGTGATTTTTGATTATTGTCCCCCGCCTTTTCGAAGCAAAAAGGGGGATATAGAAATAGGCTCCGTCCGTCCGTCTGTCCGAACACTTTTGTGTCTGATCCATAACTTTGTCATTTATCAAAGGCATTTGAAAAAATAACTTGGCACAAATATTTGTTACAATAAGACGATGTGTCGTGTCCGGTCCATAACTTTCTTACCATTGAAGGGATTTTGTAAATACTTGCCACAATTGTTCACAATAATGAGACGATGTGTCATGCGCAACAAACGGTCACGTACTTCGAAGGTCAAGGTCACACTTCGAGGTCAAAGATTAACATAGGTTGTTACAAACATGCTACAGACAAAGTTTGGTGATCATCCATCAACTGGTTCTGTAGAAGAAGATGTCTTAAGGATTTTCTATTTTTAGGTCTACAGACCCCTAAAAGGGGCCAATCAAATTAATATGAGCAACTTTGATAAAAGACTACCTAAGAAT